TTGTTCTTAAAATATTATAGTTAGCTTATGAGGGAACAATTTTTTCATTAAAATTGATATTTGCCAATATTTTTTCGTGACACATACCACGACTAATGACACAATACTGCCATTCAACCATCATCCCCATTTTTGTATATGCACGCGCGGAATCATTTGAATTCAATGAATTTTATTTATAATTAAGTCGTGTGATTGACGCGATAAATTTTATTTTTTTTAAAATCAAAATCGATAAAAAAAACGTCATCATCCGCGGCAGCCATCATCACCATGAGGAACAACCCACACCAAGAGGAAACATAATAGGAGTAACAACCACGATGGATACGGTAAAGGTGGTAGTGGTGACAATGACAGAACGATGTATTATTTTTTTTTGTTACAAACATATTTAACTTACACTAGATTAACAGTGGAAGGGGTAGATTAAATTCTAATATATCACAATATTTAAAATTGTATTTTTAATTTTATATTATATTCTTCATTTTTACGATTCACACTTGCTTAGGATATTTTTCATTTTCACGCATATATTACTTTCTCTGTTGATTGATAATAATACCATTTTGTAATATATTATATATAAATATATATAAAAAAAAAATATTAATTATCATTATATATTGGATTGCATCTATTATAATAATAATTAAAAAGTTTTGTCGCAAAGGAATATAAATTCGGCCTTTTATAGCATAGAATAGTAGAAATATAAAATTGTTTGAACAAAACTCAAATAAAAAAACAATAAAGTTTATTAAATTGAATAATAATATCTGATATGCACATTGAGTATTTTTTATAAGGACAAAGTAAAAGAATTAACAGAAGATCTTACTAAAAATGTCGAGTGTTTCCTTTTTGGGCATTTTTATTAAAAATCCATTTTTTATTATGTAAATACTTGAAGATCTGGTTGGTGTTTTAATGTGCTCACTACCCACTTTTGTTAATACTAGTTCAATTATAATTGTCCAAGGTCCTAATCAAATGGTTTGAACAAAATGAATAATTCAAATACAGGTCACTCCTGTTATAAGGACAGCTCATTATAGTGACAATCTCGTTATAGTGACATTTTTTCAAAAACACACTTTATAAATATAAATTTACTCCCGTTATAATGACATTCGTTATGTATCCT